TGAGCCTGCATCAAAATGCACAAGAGACTGAGCTAGCCTTTCTGAATTCCAAATCTGTGTTCCCAGGAGAAGCGCCCACTGAAGTTTAAATTTCTATGGATGAGGAGAAACTCACAGAAACAGGGTTGGATAGACAATCTCAATGCTATTATGAAACGGTAGTCTAACCTTTAGAAGTCTGTCTTATTAAAAATGAGGAGTTTGTGGGTATTTGACATAGCAATTAAGATGCCACTTGGAATGCCCATATCCCATATTGAGGTGCCCGGGTTCAAGTCCCAGATTCCCTCCCAGTATATACCCAGAGAGGCAGCAGGTGATGGCTCAAGTTCTCAGGTCCCTGACATACATGTGGGAGATACAGATTGAATTCCAGGCTCTTGGCTTTGGCTTGACCGAGCCCCAGTTATGACAAACATTTATGAGGATTAAACCAGGGCTTGGGAGATACTGCTCTGACTCTCTGCCTTTCAAATAAGTAAGAATTTAAAGAATCTAGCTTTTCACTTCAAGTCCAAAAAAAAAATTTAAAAAAAGGAAAGAAAAAAATCAAAATATTTCCCACAGAGAGATTGCCTTTTGCTTAAGGAGACATTAAAAACCCCAAGGGCATGGCAGAGTAAGAGAGAAGAGGGTTGATAAACTTTTTTTTTTCTTTTTTGGAAAATGGTTGGGTCCAAGTAGCACTAAGGTTAGACTACATGGAGAACATCCCCTAATTCCTGCATCTCTGCAGTAGTGGAGCTTGGAGGCCATAGGCCAGTGAAGTCAAGAGACTGAAACAGACAGAGCACAGCAGAACGCACGCCCATGCCTGCTGCACAGGTGCTCCCAGGGCCACTGCAGGCTCTTATCAATGGCTGAAATAAGTGAAGATGCAGGCAAGCCAGCCCCTGACAGACACTATGCAGGAGAGAGGCACCCTTGTATTTGAATCCCACACACCAGCATTTTGCATTCTTCTCCCATAGTTGCTACTTGAGCAAAGGGATGGAGCTCTAAGTGCCTTCAAGAACTCTTCTTGATTGTGTTTCCTGTGCCATGTGAGTGAACTCCTTTGAATAGAAGATGTGGGAGAACACAGGTAGCCCCATGTGATCTAGCAGCACAGATACTTAGACTGACAGCACAGATGAGATACTTCATCTCATCTTTGTAATAGATCCATTAAACATAGACCTGGTCAGTACTTGAACTTAGCAAATGAGCACACCTGCCATTTACCAACAAAATCACATCTCCAGGCTTTAATTCTATTTCCCCATATTTTTTGTCATTTCAGATGCTCCTGAGAAAATGATATAAGTAATAAGCCACTCTGTACAGGCGTTAAACCAAATGAAAGGACATTTATCAGTTTTATAATGTGATATTATTGTCCATATGCCAATACTGTAAGATGTGCAACCTTCCTTCTTTTTACTAAAACTGATCAAAAGTATCTTCCAGGAAAATTGGTGGCTTTAGGAGATACTCTATCTCCTGAAATTATTAAAAAGATTGATTTGTTATTTATCTATTTGAAAGGCAAAATGGCAGAGAGATGGAAGAGAGACAGAAGAGATAGGGAAGAGAGAGAGAGAGAGAGAGCAAAATATCTGCAACATTTGGGGCTGGGCCAAGCAAAACTAGAAAATTTTGAACTCTATCCAGGTCTTCCGCATGGTTGGCAAGGACCCAAGTTCTTAGACCTTCATCTTCTGCCTTCACAGACGCGTTAGTAGGAATCTGGATCAGAAATGAAGTAATGGAACTCCAACAGGCACTCCAATATAGGACCTGCTGCATCACAGTGTGTGCTCCTGTCTCTTGAAATAGTGAATACCACAGCCATCACCTGCAAACTCTGAGAACCAGCAGTCCCCAGTTCCAATGATCCAAGAAACCAGACTTTTGACAGATGTAGTGTGGGAAAACAGAGCTAGAAGACCAGGGCTTAAATTCCATCCTAGGCCGGCGCCGCGGCTCACGAGACTAATCCTCCGCCCACGCCCCAGGTTCTAGTCCTGGTTGGGGCACCGGATTCTGCCCCGGTTGCTCCTCTTCCAGTCCAGCTCTCTGTTGTGGCCCGGGAAGGCAGTGGAGCATGGCCCAGGTCCTTGGGCCCTGCACCCGCATGGGAGACCAGGAGGAGGCACCTGGCTCCTGGCTTTGGATCGGTGCAACGCACCGGCCATAGCAGCCACTTGGGGGGTGAACCAACAGAAAAAGAAAGACCTTTCTCTCTGTCTCTCTCTCTCTCTCTCTCTCTCACTGTCTAACTTTACCTGTCCAAAAAAAAAAAAATTCTATCCTAGTTTCTGTCCGTGTAACCCTAGGGACATCACATCAAAGGCTTGTTTCTTCCCCTAGAAAATGGAGATAATTTCAACTTTCTATGTCCTAGAGTAGTCATGAAGATTTTAAAAAGACAGAGTCCAGGAAGATGTCATACAATATTATCGCTTTTAGTTGAAGGTTATCCTCTGTCTATCCACTCTTGAGTTGCCAAAACTTTTTTGCACATCTATGTTCACACATACATTTATATATATATGGAAGAAAAAATGCTCCCTAGCTTTCATTAGAGTCTTAAGGGAATTCATTACCTAAAGTAGGTTAGGAACCTCTAAGCTAAAGACATACTCAAAAATGTCACTGATACACCTGCATAGGTGCACACAATACATGATCTAAGACAATACAATTGAAGACACTTAGGTTCAAAGGCACACATTTGTTATTAAACAAGAATTTATTAAATACCCAATGATACGCACAGTACAAAACTTATTTTCCTACTTCTGCTGCTTTCACCCATCATGTGGTTGCTCAGAATTTTTTTCTCATATAATAAATTTTGGAAAGACATTTCACCCAAGACCCATCGATGGTTATTTAATAAATGTACTCCACATCCTCAGTCATTAGAAACATGCAAATGAAAATCACAACGAAATACCACGACACACCCAATAAGATGATGCTTGTTAAAAAGACAATCAAAATTGAGTGTTAGTGAGAGTATTGAGAGTCTGCAAGACTCATATCCTGGTGCCAGCATCGTGGCACAATGGGTAAAGCAGGCACCTGCGAGGCCAGCATCCCATGTAACCGTTGCTCCACTTCCCATCCAGCTCCCTGCTAATGTGCCCAGGGAAGGCAGTGAGCATGGCTCAAGCACTTGGGCCCCTGCCACTCCTGCGGGAGACCTGGATGGAGTTCCAGATTCCTGGCTTCAGCCTGGCCCAGCCCTGGCCGTTGTGGCCACTTAGGGAGTGGTCCAGCAAATGGAAGAAAGATTCTCTCTCTCTCTCTCTCTCTCTCTCTTTCTGTTTTTAATTCTGCCTTTCAAATAAATAAATCAAAAGAAAAAAAAGAGACTCATACTCTGCTGGTGGGAATATGAAATGGTACTGTCACAATGGAAAAATTTTCTTAAAAAGTTGATCATTGCCTTACCAGATGACCCAGCAGTTTTAGTCCTAGTAATCTAACAAAGAGGAGTGAAAGTTGACGTTCACACAAAACTTGTACACAGATGTTCATAGTATCATTCTTCAAAGCAGTCCCCAAACTGGAGAGGAAAGAGTCCATCAGTTTCTGAGTAGATAACCCAAACTGGGCCCGAAAGGGCCATCGAGTCCGTGAGTGTGGGGTTCTCTGACGGGGAGAAAAGCATCCCTGGTAGCTTCCGCGGCAGAAATGAAACTTGAAACGCTGCACGAAATGAAAGCAGTCCGCCTCCAAAGAGCACACGCGGGATGATCATTCGAATATGAACGTCTAGACGTGACAAATGTGTAAGAACAGAAAACACGCCTTTGGTTGTCTGTGCTAGGGTAGGTGGCAACAGCAATTAACTGCAAACATGCAAGAAGGAAATTTTGAACTAAGTGGAAAAGTTTTAACACTGAAGTCTGGTGCCAGCTTCCTAACTCTGTGCACACACTAGAAATAATTGAGTTGGATATGTACAATGAGTGACTTCATGGTATGTAAATTACATTTAAATGCAGATAGTCTTGGAAGGGACACAAATGATGAACAGGATATACTGAGATAGAACTGTAAAATAAATACAAATCATAATATATTTACCTATAAGTGGTTTTGTTCTGTGTGTGTATCATGGTATTTTAAACTGTTTTTCTTTAAAGAAAAACATGCCTTTTTCTCTCTGTGCTGTGGTATCATGATCTGTAAAATGGAGATGACAGAGTGACTACCTTATAAGACTCTGTAAATATATAAGTTAGTGAAAGATGTAAAGAATTTAGAAGAGGATGCGACTCACAATAAGGATTGAATACATTTTAATTATGAGTACTAACTAGAGATTTTATGTCACTAACCATCACATATATTTTATGACACAAATTTCATGTGATTTTTTTTCTTTTGCTTTTTAAAATTTACTTGAAAGACAGAGAAATGGAAAGAGACAGAGAGATAGAGGGAGAGATTCCATCTACTGGTTCACTCCCCAAATGCCTACCACAGCTGGGCTGTACTGGGCCAAAGCCAGGAGCCCAGAACTCAATATGGGCCTTCTACATGGGTGGCAGGGACTCAACTACTTGAGCTGTCCTCTGTTTCTCTACAGGGTGAGCATTAGTTGGAAGCTAGGATCAGAAGCAGAGCCAGGAGTCAGAGGTAGGCACTCTGATGTGGGATGCAGGCATTTTAATCACTAGGTCAAATGCCTGCCTTTTTTTTTTCTGATGCAAAAAATGGGCATTAATAACTAACGATGCTTTCCTGAGTTGGCACAAATAAAATACATAATAATTGAGGCTATTCAAAAGGGAAAGATAGCATAGCTGGAAAATTTGAACTACCATTGAATATATCACAGAGAACATAATCTACCAAAAAACACATTTTGGCTTTATTTTCCTTTCAGAATCCCAAAGCAAGCAATTCAAAGCAATCATTTTAGGCTTCCTTTCCTTTCTCATGTTCTTCTCTCACTGCTTGGTGATGCTGTCTACACTGAACTTCTTCCTTATCAATTACAGGACGAAGGAAAATGGCCGCCTCTGGAGGTAATAAAATTGGAAGGCGCCGAAGTCAGCGTTGATAGCAGCCTGGGAAAACCATTTGTGTTTAACTGTGTGCCTCAGTCTGGAAATAGAATTTTTTGCCTCTGTGCAACCTCAAACCAAGAAATGAAAAGGTAATTCAGTGATCTCGTTTCTTACCAGTTGTGCTCTGAGTGGGGAAGGCTTCCTCCAACAGCCACCTTAGAGATTCTTGGGATCAGACTAGGAAAGAGCGAATGCCAACTTCATAGCATGAGACAATAAGTTGTTTTTTTACCTTAAGTGTAAAATATGAGGTCTTCATTATTCCTTCCAGTTTTTTCCCTAACAGAATTTCCAAAGAACACAAGCATCTTCCGCTACTCACTTACTTTGACTCTTTGTGTTTCCTAGAAAAAGTCCAGTATTGCCCCAGTTCAGATCCAGCATCCTGCAAAATTGCTGGATTTATGTATTTTAAGTTAACTGGGTGGTTGGCCTTAGGTTAGTACAGTAAAAGGAGATGAGCAAAGTTAGTTAAATGTAATAACGTAGCTTTATGGGGGGGAGTGATGAGGTGACCTTTTGTGAGCAGGTAATGCAAATGGAGAAAGAGAAGGGTGTAAGCTCGCTGGGAGGGTGGCTTCTGAGCCCTGAGCGCCCAGCACCACCATTGTTACTCAGTGTGTCTCCCCGAGCGAGTGAAGGTCATTGGTCAGGACCCCGAGTCTACTGAGAACTGTAGTGAAAACTGCTGGTTATGAGCAAGAGGTGGGGCAGGGTGGGTGAGAGCAAGTCAATGACAAAAGGTAGCTATGAGCCAACAGCACTTGGTGTTGATGGCATATCTCCTTAAGAGAATTCACACCAGCTCCAATCTTGAAGGGATTCCTGGCTCTGAAACCTTCTGGACTAAGACATAACTGTCTCTGTGTATGGAACATTATTTATGGAACATCCATGTATGTTGCTTTAAAGGACAGACAGGGAAATGGGATGATAGCAACTAGACTGTATTTCAACTCATGCACAAAAATATTTTTTGGATACTTCATTTGTCCAAGACACTGTTTTAAGATTTCTTTGGATTAATAGTATCTCATGAAGAGGCAATCTTTGCCTTCAAATAAGCTCTGAACCAAGAAGATAGGGCATTTACTCTAATAGTTTAAATGCAAGAAAGAAGTTGAGAGGTGCTGTAGGAGAAGACAGGGCAGTCCAGGAATTGGGAGTAGAGAGAGGATAACGAGGTTGTTTATAAAGGGTGTGGCATAAAATTGAAAGAGCATATGAAAGAAGAAAAGGAATATAGGCGAGCAGAGGAAATGAATCCAACTTTGCAGAGAATCCCAAGATTGGAAGCTAGGCAGTTTATTTTATTTATTTATTTATTTTTACAGGCAGAGTGGACAGTGAGAGAGAGAGAGACAGAGAGAAAGGTCTTCCTTTGCCGTTGGTTCACCCTCCAATGGCAGCCGCGGCCGGCGCACCGTGCTGATCCGAAGGCAGGAGCCAGGTGCTTCTCCTGGTCTCCCATGGGGTGCAGGGCCATCCTCCACTGCACTCCCGGGCCATAGCAGAGAGCTGGCCTGGAAGAGGGGCAACCAGGACAGAATCCAGCGCCCCGACCGGTACTAGAACCTGGTGTGCCGGTGCTGCTAGGCGGAGGATTAGCCTAGTGAGCCGCGGCGCCGGCCAAGAAGCTAGGCAGTTTAAAAGATAATTAGACTAGATCGGCAAGATGGGTTGGGTAAATAGTCTGGGGCTTGGATAAAGGAGGCAAGACTAAGAGAACGTTGTCTTCCAGAAGAGACACAGGTGGCCACCATGCCCAAGAAATGCATGGCAAGAGGACTCAGGACAGTGGCGGTTTACTACTATTTCCATATTTTAACAGCCAGTGCCTTGCAGCGAGTGTACCAGTTATTTTCAGCCTTGCTGATGTCTGTAAATTCCATACCTTAGTTAAAACAAAGAGTGAATGAATTCTCTCCCATGCACTAATTAAACTCTAGTAAAAGAGAAGGATAAGTATAATTTGTTTTAAGTGTACCTGGTGGAGGTGAGATTTTGCCACTCAGTAGCAAGAATGTGCTGCCCTTCAACCATGAATTTAAAGCAGTGGAACAAAGCTGAGCCTCAGGACCTGTCTGTCTGAACCGTGGGCTCAAAGCAAACAAGTCCCTGCAGGTGACACTTGTCCAGCTCCTCAGTGACAGCTCCTCTCCTTTTACTGCCTCGCAGGTGGCTTGAAGCAATGGACAAAGCAGCCCACCCTGTCCACCAGGTGAGGTTTCCTTGGTCATTCATCCCTGCCTTCGTTTTGCTTTTCTTCTAAGAGGGGAACAGGGGCAAGTAAGCTGCCAGGGAGTCGACCCTGGGACTTCTCAAATCTAAAAGAGGGGAAAGAGGATTTTAAGTCAATGGGGTTTTCTGCTCAGCTCCTTTCATTACCAAAGTACAAGATCTTGAGGGTGCTTTTGGGTGGTGCTGTTGGCCAGGCAGCTTACTGAAAACTGAGTGTGTTGCATGTGTGTTTTCGGAAAATAAAAAGACACTCGTCCAGTGCTTTAGGTTCATATCCTTGTTCTATAAATACATTAACCCATTTGAATTATTCTTGCCCACTCATGATTTGCAACTTTGGAGCAATAGTCTTCAAGTTAGATGTTTTCCCTACAAACTGATAGATAATCTCATAGCATCAACATATGAGTCATCGCTCCTCTTCCTGACTTTGTGGTATAAGCTTTTGAGGGAGAAATGCTTTAGTACCCAGTTGTCTCATTTCTATACTGTACATTGGATTTCTAATGAAGACACAGATTTTCTTTACAGACACTCATTTCATCACAAAATAGCATACAAGCAAATGACATGAACTATCTAATATTGTCTGCATATTTTGGAGCTTGTATATTTGGAAAAATTTGGCTTGTTCAAGCTTGCAAGTAGTACCCCATGCCCTGTGACTGTCCTTGCAGAATACTCACAAGCACCCTCTGACGACAAACAATAGGACTCGTGTTTCATTTTACCTGGAACACAATGCCCAGTACACTCATGCATCTCTCCGATGTGGCATCCGAATGAGACTCGATTATTTTTAAGCAGTGTCTATTCTACTAATGCACTCAGCATCAGCAGCAAAGAAAAAAAAAAAAAAAAAAAAGAACAAACGCCCAGCAGGCTTCCGCTTCACAGCAGAGGATACAGCATGCTCTGCCTTCTGAGGTCTTTTGCGCTGCCCTGTTAAACCCAAAGAACAAAAATGAAACAAAGAACGGAAATGGGCAAGCACAGGCAGGTTGTTCTGACAAAGAGATGAAGCTCAGTGTCCCCAGCCTCAGGTCAGAGTTTCCAGAAAGAGCCTGTGTCCCAAGCCTGTGGACCCAGGCTGCCCTCCCAGCGTTCAGGATCTTGATTTCTCATCAGTAACCATGACAGCCTAAGGCCTGCACTGGCCTGGGGCATTTAACCAGCGCAAGTGAGAGCACCATATAGAGAAGCATGAATCAGGGGCTGCTATCAGTCGGGTGGGCTACAAGGAAGAGGGCTAGGACAATCCCAGGTCAGTGAGATAGCTCATCAGGCCCAACGCTTACAGACAAGGCCAGTGAGACAGGCCTTTTTTGTGGTGTCTGTTTCCACTTCCTTTGGGTCAGTGTCCCCCATTTTGTAGATAACATGAGAGCACTTCAAAAAATTTGTGAAAAATGGAATTACCAGGTAAATGTATTTTAGTGCAAAAACATTTTTGAAATTTCTGCATTTGAAGTATCTTCAAAAAGTTCATCACATGTCTTGTCCTTTTTTTTTTTTTAAGATTTATTTATGTCTTTGAAAGAGTTACACACACACAGAGAGAGAGAGAGAGGCAGAGAGAGAGGTCTTCCATCTGCTGGTTCACTCCCCAATTGGCCACAATGGCCAGCGCTGCACCCATCCGAAGCCAGGAGCCAGGAGTTTCTTCCAGGTCTCCCACACAGGTGCAGGGGCCAAGGACTTGGGCCATCTCCCACTGCTTTCCCAGGCCATAGCAGAGAGCTGGATTGGAGTGGAGCAGCCGGGACTAGAACCAGCGCCCACATCATATGCCTTTTCTATGAACTTTTTGAAGACCACTCATATGCATGTACTTCAGACATTTTTGCACCAAAATAAACTTACTTTTCAATTTCGTTTTCTGTGAACTTTTTGAAGTACCCATATATTACTTTGAAAATAATACAGAAAGAAAATAAAGAATACATTAACAGCAGGAAAATGTGGCCATTGTCTTTTTTTTTTTTAAGATTTATTTTATTTATTTGAAAGACAGTTACAGAAAAAGGTAGAGACACAGAGAGAGGTCTTCCATCCTCTGGTTCACTCCCCAGATGGCTGCAATGGCTGGAGCTGCGCTGATCTGAAGCCAGGAGCCAGGAGCTTCTTCTGGGTCTCCCACATGGGTGCAGGGGCCCAAGAACTTGGGCCATCTTCTACTGCTTTCCCAGGCCATAGCTGAGAGCTGGATGGGAAGAGGAGCAGCCGGAACTCGAACTGGCGCCCATACGGGACGCCGGCGCTTTAACCCAATGTTTCACAGCACCAGCCCCCCGTGGCCATTGTCTACATCTTCACACTTAAAGATGTCAGTTTTTCTATAGATGTAATCACAATCAAAGTCTTTGTTGAGGGGCGGGTGTTTGGCACAGCAGTTAGGACATGAGCATTGCATTTGAGTTTGAGTTCCTGCTCTGCTTCCAATCCAACTTCCCACTAACGTACCCTGGGAGGCAGCGGGTGATGGCTCAAGTACTGGAGTCCCTGACATCCACATCAGAGACCTGGTTGGAGTTCCTGGCTCCTGACTGTGTGCCAGTTCAGCCCCAGCTGTTGCAGACATTTGGAGAGTGAACCACCAGATGGAAGATCTCTCTCCTCTAACTCTGACGCCCTCTCTGTCTCTGTACCTGTCAAGTAAAATGAAAACAAATAAATGAAGGTACTAAAAAAATTCTAGCAGAGTAACTTTTTTGTCTTCCGTTTTGTTTAGGTAAAAGATTATCAAATGGGTGCTAAAACATTTATAGGAAGGAGGTCTCTTATTCTTTTGACTTCCTCAGAGTAGAAGTCAGAGAAGAGATGTCTATGAATATGAAAATGGAGAAGTTCCCTATGAACAATCTATAAACATGGGTTGTCTGGAGTTGCTCAAGTATTCAAACTGTCTTAACCAGAGAGCCATTTAAGGCAGCGGCTTCCCAAAAGCCAGACAGTCCTGGTGCTGGTGTCCCTGGTTCTGGGAGTCGGTGCCTTTTGGTGCAAGGTGACCACTCACGTGTCCCTCTGTGCCACACCTGCAGAGCCATGTCTGGGAAGATGTCACAGTGCACAACAGCAGCCTCCCGCCCCTGGCTATCAAGAATCCAGAGTGCCTGGGCCTGCTGCACCAGCTGGAGAGAGGCTCAGACACGTGGGTCCAGCGCTACTGCATTCTGAAGGACGGCTGCTTGTACCTGTACGCTAGCATCCGCGCCACCCAGGCCTCAGGTAAGGACGCTGTCCCTTGAGTCGGCGGTGACTGTCATCATGACAGTGATGGCACTGTAGCTTTATTGAGCTGTTACCAAGCCCTGTGCTATGTGCTCTTCCCACACTAGTAAAAGGTTCCCATTTTACAAGCAGCAAACTGGATGCAAGGTCTGCCTGATGTGACAAGATCACATGCAGTAAGTAATGAACACAGGCAGGCTACCTCCAAAGCTTGTACCCTTTACCCCTCAACTTTGCTGCCCAGAAAAGTGAAAGGAAGTTATCTTTCATGCTTGTAGTCATTGATGCGTTCAAAGGCAAAGCCAATCATTTTCTTGAATAGTGACTCCGTCCCTTTCTTAAGGATCCCTAATTTGAGCAAGGTGAGTAACAAAAGGAACATTCATTGTCCATGTTCCTTGGTCAGATTACTTAGCATCCTAAATTGGATTCCTCATTTACAAAATGGGAATTATGGGAATTGAAGCCGTTTCACAGAACTATCATGGAAACTGAGTCACTGCTGTCAAAGTGACTTAGCTCCTCATTTCATACACTCTCTGTAAAAATCTCTAATATATGCAGTTTATTATTCAATTATATAATTAGTATGCATATTAAATTAGATAGAGTTTAACAGCTATTTATATAAAATGATTATGTATACAATATAATTTGATAAAATAACAATTGTGCCTGATTTCCACAAGATATATTATTTCACTTTCCTTTAATTTTTTAAAACTTCTTTATTTTTTTAAAAATTTTTAACTTTTGTTTAATAAGTATAAATTTCCAAAGTACAGCTTATGGATTACAGTGCCCCCCCCATAACTTCCCTCCCACCTACAACCCTCCCATCTCCTGCTCCCTCTCCCATTCCATTCACATCAGGATTCATTTTCAATTCTCTTTATATACAGAAGATCAATTTAGTATATATGAAGTAAAGATTTCAACAGTTTGCACCCACACAGAAACACAAAGTGTGAAGTACTGTTTGAGTACTAGTTATAGCATTAATTCACATTGTACAACACATTATGGACAGAGATCCTACATGAGGAGTAAGTGCACAGTGACTCTTGTTGTTAACTTAACAAATTGACACTCTTGTTTATGGCGTCAGTAATCACCCTAGGCTCTTGTCATGAGTTGCCAAGGCTATGGAAGCCTTATGAGTTCACCAACTTTGATCTTCTTTAGACAAGTTCTCTCCTCCCTTCAGAGAAAGGTACCTCTTTCTTTGATGGTCCGTTCTTTCCACTGGAATCTTTAAAAGACTCATTTATTTATTTGAAAGTTAGAGTTACAGAGAGAGAGGGAGAGACAGAAGAGGAGAGAGAGTGAGAGAGAGAGAGAGGGAGAGAGAGATCTTCCATCTGCTGGTTCACTCCCCAAATGGCTGCAATGGCTGGGGCTCGGCCAGGCCCAGGGCAAGAATTTCATTCAAGTCACCCACATGGGTGCAGGGGCCCAACCACTTGGGTCATCTTCCACTGTGTTCCCAGGCACATTAGCATTTAGCTGGACAAGAAGTGGAGAAGCCAGGACTCGAACCGGCGTCTATATGGGATGCTGACTCCATAAGTGACGGCTTTGCCTGCTGTGCCACAGTGCCAGCCCCTCTTGTGATTTTTCAGATTTATTGTTTGAAAGGCAGAGAGAGAGAAAGACAAGGCTCTGATCTGCTGCTTCATTCCCCAAATGCCTTCAAAGGCCAGAACAATATCGGGAGCTGAGAATTCAATTCAGATCGACTGCGTGGGTGACAGGGACCCAAGGACTTGAGTCATCCCTTGAATCTCCTAGGTTGTGCATTAGCAGGAAGCTGGAATCAGGAGCCAGAAATGAGTATGAAACCCAAGAATACCAACCTGGGGCATAAGCATCTTAATCACTAAGCAATGCTCCCTCCTTTCTTATAATTTTTTGACAAAATAAATTATCGATGTTTTCTTTGTAGTTGCATTTTCCCCCTAGGAGTAATCTTTAAATAACTAACCATGGCGGGCATTCTGGAATCTCAGTCATTCAATTTCTATTTTCAACGTGAGTGTCTATGTTTAATTAAGCAAGGTGAACGTGGAAAATGAGAGGGTGGCGCCTGGTGACCATGTCCACCTTCTTGGAAATATACGAGAGGTCCAAGTCAAGCGTCACAGCCGGGCCCCTTTTTCATCACTTGGATTGAACAGTAAATTCCTCTCCTCCTCTCACCCTCCCATTTCAACCGTGGCCCAGCATATCATACAACCACAAACAAACAGCATCCCTGGGCTTACGGAGTAGGCTGTTCCTGTTCACAACAGTTGCCTTCCACAGCTGGTTTCGGGATGAGAATGAATGTGAAAAAAATTAAATCTCCAAAGGAGTCATTGACTTTGGTTTGTATGTAAAAATATCACTTCAGAAGTCTGAGTCCTTTTAGTTACCAAGACATGTAAGCTGAGTTTCAAGAGACGGTTTCCATCCATAGACAGGAAATGTTCAGGACAGAATGTGTAGAGTACTCCAAACTCTGAAATGATCAGGAAGTGCTCCAAACTCCTGGGGCCTGTGGACTGTTTAAAAATAATAATGACAGCCGCTAAGTGGCTTTGCTTTTTCAGGAAGGTCAGAGAAGGTCCTGCTTGGATTGAGAAGTCCTAGTTAGGAAGGGAGGGAAGTGCTCGCCGTGGCCTACAAATAATGCTAGCAGAAGCAGCAACCCTACAGTGAATACAGTGCTGTACTGTTCACTCCGGCGCGTCGTTAGCTTAACTTCCAGAGCAACCCTGCAGGATTGGTTATTATCCCACCTACATATTTGTAATCTGGTGTTTTGGACAGTTAAATCACTGGTTCAAGTTTCTCTAGCTAGTAAATGGTGAAGATAGAACTTGAACCCAGGTAGCCTGAATTTACACCAACAAAAATTTAAAAATAATGAGTAGAAAACAATGAAGCCTTATTAACACTCAACTCTTATCATTGCAATCGCCTTTCTAGAAGTTTCCATAGTTGTCTTCAGAGCACTTCAGAGTCTTATTCTTTGACCTGTACCATCTGTATATGGCTTTACTTTTCATTGCTTGTGTTAAATCCCTGTGCACTCCACCCAAACAATGTCACATTCTATTTCCCAAGGCACACACCACCTCCTCAACACTTTTCTGATCCCATATCCTTGCTCGTGTGAGTTCCTTTCTCTGGATCATCCCCTACCTATCTACGTATTATGCAATGCAAGTTGTCCTTAAAGCACCTATTCAAATACTGTGCAATTCTGCTACAGAGCAGTCCCAGATGGTCCTAGATAAATAACCTCCCTTTTCTGAACCTATGTATCTGTGCCACTCATCACCCTTACCTTGTATTTCATTTCTTGATGGACACCATATCCCTTCAATAATCACGTCTTCCAGAAATGACTGTATATTCTACTATGCACATTGAGTGAACCGAGGAAGGAAGGAACACTCAAATGAACTCCATTGGCCAGTGGCCCTATAACGTATGCGCAGTTTATCATCCCCTTATTTGACAGTGGAGAAAGGCTAGAAGATTGCAAAGCTAATTCAAAGGCAAAACTGGAAGTCAACCCACCACATGCATGGCCTTTCTTCCACATCACACTCTTCCCAACAGTAAGAAGTTATCAAATTTATCTCTCTTTTAAAGTTCCTCTCTCTAAAATATTTTGTGTTTATGTAAACTGTTTAATCCAGGGGTGGCTTTGTTGCCTAGTGGTTTGGATGCCTGCATCCCAAACTGGAGTGTCTGGGTTCAAGTCCTGACTCTGCTTCCTATTCCACCTTCCTGCTAACGTGCACCCTGGGAGCAGCAAGTGATAACTCAAGTCGTTGCATCCCTGCCACCAAGCAGGAGACTTGGATTGAGTTCTAGGCTTTCAGCTTTGGCCCGGCCCAGTAGTAACTGTTGGGGGCATTTAGGGAGTGAACCAGTGGATAGTAGCTCCCTTTGTCTGCTTGCCTGCATCTCTCTCTCTCCTCTCTCCTCCCTCACCTCGCCCATCTCAAATAAAGAAATAAACAAAAATTTCAAAATATATTTAATAGAAGCATATCCATTCTCTCCCAGTCTTACTTCTTAAATATTTCTATGTCCATAGATCCTTAATTTCTACCCAAATGATCTCAAGTATGGATTAAGAGAACATTTTCTCAATTCCAACATAAAATTTATATCTAGGTCGTGTTCTAAATCAGAGGTCTGTGATCTCTGTTTTTACACTATTCTGCTTTCCCTTGACTAAAACATAACATTGGTGAACTTCACCACCACCCCTTTCCACTGCCTGCTCCCGTGTGCACATGGAAGCTGTCCTATCAGCTGCAACCTTTCTTCAGGTTAAGGCGACTGTGAAGGAATTCTTCTGAGGGTCTGTATCCTTCTATACACTTGGATTTTAAATGGAAGTTTAAATGCTTTTGCAAGAGTCCTGCTCAACTTTCTTGCGTATTTCAACTTGGATCATGCCCTGAGGCTCACAGCCAGTGACCCAGAACAATGAAACTCAAAAAAAAAAAGGAGGAGGGGCCGGCATTGTGGTGCAGCTGGTTAAGCTGTGGCCTGATGCCTTCATCCCATATGAGCACCGGTTCGAGTCCTGACTGATCTACTCCTGGTCCAGCTCCCTGCTAATGCACCTAGGGCAGCAGCAGAAGATGGCCCAAGTGCTTGGGTCCCTGACCCTCATGTGGGAGACCCGGATGGAGCTCCAGGCTCCTGGCTTCAGCCTGGCTCAGTCCTGACTGGTGCAACCAGTTGAGGTGGAAAGGTGGAAAATCTCTCTCTCTCTCTGTAATCCTGCCTTTCAAATGAATAAATAAATCCTTAAAAAAAAAAAAAAAACTCACGAAAGTAAGGTAGGATGGAGGCATATCTGTCTCCTCTGGAAAATTCTCAAAATAAATGTGCGGTCTCCACCCACCACCAAGGATCACTGCCCTGATGACCCATTGTTTTGCAGAGGGCTGGACTGCATGTCCTAAGTGTGTTTCAGTGGGAAAGTT